AATAGGGGACAATTAAAATTTGATGTTTACCGTAAACCTATGCATCAAGATCACTATCAATGGTCCTTGATCAGTGGTTGATCAGTCGATATGACAATTTGCATATTAATGATGAAGAAACTGACCTCACAGCCCATTCTTTGTCAGTGGTGCTAGTTTCAGTTATTATGCAAATATACTGTTAAGGGTTGGGGAAACCTGGATTCAGCTGAGACTGAAGAAGTCACTTGGATGAGAGATGAAATGTTTCTCCCACTGAAAACGCTACATCCAGGTGAATAGAATTAACCTTTTGGGTAATAGTAAAATATATTTTACTTATATTTTACTTTGAAACAAGCAGAAAAAGCTTCACACGTGAGTACTAATTACTAATTTAATTCTTAGAACCACTTACGACAGCAGTTTCAGCACAGATATAACTCCACACATTCCAAGCAGCAAAGCAATATTAATTCCTAATAAAGTTAACGATACTTAAATAAATAAAACAGCCAATGTGAAAATATGCAAACGTGTGGCTAAAATCAGATTATTATTAATGTGCATTAAACCTTATTATAGTAGCTGTTATAAAGGAGCTGCGGAAGCACTTAGACTTGCACTTTGGTGCAATCAGTCTTTGACTGAAGGTTCTGCTGTTGATAACCTCCAGGGCATGAGGCAGGTGTGTAGGGTTGATCATAACTTATTTCAGCTTCTGGAGCATTTTTCTCTCCACCACCTGCTGGACTGTCTCAAGTCCAGCAGGATCCAATTATTTCACACATTGCTCTTAAATGGCACGCAGAGGTGGAACTACAGAGCTCTGCACTGCACCTAGAGAGTGCAGTACCATGCCAAAGCTTTCATAGGGCTGAAGTTGGTGGGTGGTCAGCCCACCATTTATGGTTTGAGCTAAAAACCACTGGATGTACTACCACTAACTTTTATATAGTTAAGTGGCAAATTAAGATGGTAAAACCTGCTTAACAGCAGGATTTTAGCATTGCCATTCTGAACACAGCATTCTAATCTTACAATGTTGTATATCTAGAACATATATACAGTATATTGACTGGATGGTGTGGAATAAGAGAAATATTTTACTGCTACTCATACTCATCATTATCACCATTGCATTAATTAACTTTGCATTAAGTCATTACCATTACATTAATCAAATTAATCATCATTTCAGTAAAACATTTATTGAAGCTGTTGGCATTACATTAACCTTTTTATTACAGGTACAGCTAAGATCATTTTACACACATTGCATTTTGTGCTTATTAAAGAGTCAATTAATTGGAGGTTGTAAGCTTTGTTTGGCGCGATGTCCAGACAATCTATTGTGTAAGTGACTTGGAGCTATAGAAGGTTAAAACTGCATACACGCTTACAAAACACATATAATACATATAATCTAGAAACAGGCTTGAGTGAAGGCCTGAATGTATCCGGCTTCTTGTTGCATCTGAGTTTGCTTAGTAACAGGTGACAGAAGATGGGCCAAAAAGGAGGACCAGTCCCTGGGAAACGTCAGAGCCTGAATCCATCGCCATATTTGGAGAAGATGCTAGAGAGGGGAACTTCAGTGTCTGCATTTATCTCTTAAAATTGCTCATTGTCTATAAAACATGCAAATGATGTTCTTAAAATACAAATTATGTTCTTGTACAACGCGAGAAGGGGCGTTAACCAACCCTGACATTATAAAAGCAATCTGAAGTGTATTTTTGGGTGGAGAGCTACATCTGATGTTTTGCAGTGTACATCTTCCCACGCGTGTGTTCAATAAACTCATCTGTTTGATTGCATCCTTCTGGGCCTCTGATATTTTGTTTTGGTTCTCAACATCGCGAATCGGGACAATGGGGAGAACTTTCAGTAAAAATATACTAAGAACATGACGCAGAGCCAATTACACCAACTTTGAATACATTCAGACTGTTTGAAATATTTCATCTTCAGATATTTTACCTTGGAGTACACATTGACAATAAACTGGACTGGGCTAAAAACACCACAGCACTTTACAGGAAGGGCCAGAGTCGTCTCTATTTTTTGAGGCGACTGAGGTCCTTCAACATCTGCCAGAAAATGCTGAGGATTTTCTATGAGTCTGTTGTGGCCAGTGCGATCCTCTATGCTGTTGCATGCTGGGGGAGCAGGCTGAGGGTCGCAGATGCCAACAGACTTAATAAACTAATCCGTAAGGCCAGTAATGTTGTGGGGATGGAGCTGGACTCCCTCAAGGTGGTGTCGGAGAGGCGGATGCTGTCCAAGATAAAGACAATGTTGGATAACACCTCCCACCCACTCCATGACATGCTGGTCAGTCACAGGAGCACGTTCAGTGAGAGACTGAGATTACCGAAAAGCACCACTGAACGACACAGGAAATCTTTCCTGCCTGTGGCCATCTCCCTGTACAACGCATCCACTTAACACACTGGTTACTGCTACAACTACACATGTTTCTTTTCCAGCTATTTATTTATGAGTGACTTATGTATGTATGTATAAGTATATATATGTATATATTGTACTATTCTTAGTTAGCGTATTGTCTGTCTTGTCTTAATGTTGGTTTATGTTGGTTTATAATGGAGCACTGTAACAAAAAATAATTTCCCCCAGGGATCAATAAAGTATTCTGATTCTGATTCTGATTTTTGGGTCTGTTTTGGAGGATTAAACGAAAAAACACAAACAAACATAGATCACCCACTTTTGAGAGTGAGTTGTTGTACTCGCAATGCAAAGCACAAACTACGTTTTCCGTTCACAGCACTGTGAGAGGTTACAGTAACCTGTGGGAACATACAGAAAACCAGAAGTACTGAAACTTTAAAAAGTCATCTTGTTTCTGTTTGCAAAGGTTAGCTGGCAGTGACAGTTCAGTAAAGTGAAGTGAAAGTCAGTTTTAAGAACATCTAAAGGTATTTTGAGGCACTAGTTGTGTCAGTTCCTTTTACTATAAAGCTGTTATGTCATGTTGATTTTTGTATTATACATACATACATACATACTTTTATAGTTTTTATACAGTGCATTGGTGCGTATAAACATGGTGAAGACGCTTCAAGATCATAGGAAGGCACTTGTTACATCTAAGGTATCCAGAAGAGCATCTCTGAATGCACAGCAGCAGTAGACCGCACACCATGTGAAACTCTTGTCAGCAAGGAATAAGAAACTGAGGCTACTGTTTGCATAGGCTCACCAAGATGGGACAAAGAAGATTAAAACAGAAACACCATTTGGTCTGATCAGTCTCGATTTCTGCTGCAACATTCAGACTATATAAAAATTAACAGTATTAACAGTTCAGGCTGCTGCCGGTGGTGTAAAGTTGGTGTAAAGGTGTGGCGGATATTTTACTTCGAACTCTTTGGGTTCCTTTGTACTCATAGTGAATCATTTAAACACCACAGTCTACCTGATTATTGTTGCTGACCATGTCCATCTTTTTTGACAATATATTTTGATGGCTGCTTCCAGCACGATAATGCAACATGCCACAAAGCTCAAGCTCTTAAACCAGTTCCTTTAACATAAAAATGAGTTCACTGTACATAAATGGTGTACCTAGTTAAGTATATATATATTAAATGCTAAAAATGCTGTGATGATTGCAATGTAGTGCATACTGTGTACAATTAGTATTATGGATTTGGGACATATCCATAAGTCCTGGTGAGTTGCTAGTTTAACTGCTAGGCAAAGTATTTCACAAATGTATTTTATCTGCATGAAAGCTGGTCCGCATGTACATCTGTTTATCACTGTATGAACGTTTTCTAGGTTTCTGGGGTAATTCAGAAAGTAGTTTAGAGCAGCTGTGATCTGTGGTGACAGTGGTTTTCAAAATGGCAAATATAATCAGTTGCTTTACTGACTGAAAAGACAAGCTTTTTATATCTGTTAAAGAGAAGTAAAAATGTGTAGTATTTACAGTAAAGCAGTTGGGTATTAGATAAAAGTAAATAAACACAGAAGCTTCCTTTCACAGATATGGATTAAACCTAATCCTAGAATAAATACTTCTTTTTCTACACTTAATCCATGGCTCGCAAAACACCTGCAGAAATCTACAGCCACATTAAAAACTCTGAGAAGTTGTGTTGTGCTAAATGCTATTGTCAACACACGGACAAGCAGTCTTTTTTTTTTTTTTTTAAAAAAGGCAAACTTTTGTTCCTTAAAACTAATACACTGTATAAAATGTAAATTATGTCATCATTCCCACCTTCATTGTCACCTTCAAATACTCCTCGTCACTGGGGTTTCTACTCAGGAGTGTCTTTCAAAGGACATTTATGGATGCTTGTGGATTTAAAAAGGTCTCTAATTAATTTCAATCTGAATGAATTTGCAACAGACAGATTCAGCCTGTGTGCAGGCTGTCTGGCATATGTCTCTAATAGATTTCTTCCCAGGATCTGCAGGTGATTGTAGTGCAGTAACAATTCTGACCCACATGGGAGACCCACACTAGAAGAAATAACCCTAAAAGTTTGGTAAAAATATAAACATAAGGCCTTGTTGAATAATGTACTCTGGGCAGACAAATCAAAGATAGAACTGATAGAAAACACACAGGGGAAGATTTTCAGGAGGATAAACTTACACCAACTGAAATGTATGGAGGTGGTGGTGCTATGTTTTGGGTCTCTTTGCTTCCTCTGGGAGTGGACTGTGAATGAGCTATGAATTCTGCATTAGATCAAATATTTTTCAAGAGTGATATGCAAAAATAAAAAACTTTCCTTTTTACATAATTTGTGGTTATATTGCTTCTTGTCACTAGAAATTGCTAAAGGACACTGACTTGTGACTGGCACATCCTTCGACTGTCTTCTTATGTACATGCAGCTTAACTTTAAATATCCCTTGTGAAGTATTATACATAAACAAAAGAAGAAAAATAAGAAAAAAAGCTCTTGTTTACATGTGATTTTTTCCCCCTTAAATATACCTCAAGACCACAAACCACTAGGGTGTGTGCAAAACAGCATGTAGGTCACACACCTGAGCTGGATACAACATGGGCTATACCTCTTTCAGATCTAATTAAGTCTCACTGTTGCTATATCTTTCTCTTTCAACTTCACAATGAATACCGAAGACCATTCCAACACCTCCTCCATCCTCTTCTTTTTACCTACATTCCACAACTGCTTCTTTTCAGAATCGTGCCTCGATCCTTGGTACATTGCTGCTGGTGTGGTTATTCTATTAAGCTCCATACTCGGCATCTTGGCAAACATCAGTGTGACAGGGAAACTCATTCAGAATTTGCGCGGTTCCTCCATGTCGCAGCACCTCATCTTCAACCTAGCACTGTCGGACCTCCTCTGTCTGCTCATCCTGGTGGTCGGCAGCATCGTTTTCTGGACCGGGCTACATTTAAACCATTCAATCTGTCAACTTCTCGTTTATCTCTTATTTTTCTGCAACACCACCAACTTAAACATTCCGGTGCTGATAAGCATCCAGAGGTACTACCAGGTATGTATTTATCAGTCCTTTAAATATGTTGTCATTTTTTCTGAAAATAAGATCACAAGTAGGACTTTTGTTTGAGTCAATTAAGAGTGTTTCTTACCTTGGGAAATAAAAAACAGATGTACAGTACTGTCTATAAGTACTGTCTAAAAGAGCCACCGCACATTTGTTTATATTTTCCTTCCAATGAGCCAGACTTTCCTAAAGTTTTTAATGTGGTCTTAATCAATTGTTTAAGGCTTTCTGAAGGTCTTTCAAAGTTTTTCTTTGGACATTGGCAGCTTTTCATTTACTTTCAGTCCATTTTGGGATTGTTTTGTTTTTTTGTTTTTTTAAATTTAGCCTCTTAACACTGATCTTTGAATCATTCAAGCATATAAAGGTTACAGGGATGAACCAGTGCTGTGTCTACACATCACAAAAAACTGAGCAAATAACCAGTTTTTATCTTTGGGTACTTTGTTACAAGCACAATCACAAAAATGCATCATTTATTCCCATTCCTCTAGTTGAATCTATAAAAAAATACCAACAATATCACAGTTTGACAGGCATAAAATAGTAATATTGCACCAACAATGTGATTCCTAAGATTTGTTAGATGAAATCTATATAAACTGAAAAAGTGGAGCACAAAAGTGAAAGTGCTAAAAACTATCATCTACAGATGATATTTGAAAGTCATGTCCTTAAGATATAGGGGGGGGAAATCCAGCAAAGACCTGACACAGGACCTGAGAGATGCATCTGGCCCTTTAGTTGATTTATTCACTGAAACCTCATCAGAAATGGTCTCAGGTGGCTGTCAAGAAATCATTCTTAAGGAAGGGAAACAGGGAGAAAAGCCTGAGGTATGCCAAATTACACAAGGACTGGGCTGAAAATCAGTGGCCACATGTCCAACCTTGGAATATTTTTGTTCAAATCATCCTCAGTATATTCAGAAGAAGAGGTCAAAATGGAGGTACAACACTGAGTGTCTACAGCAGCTGTAAAACGCAGTGGATCCCTTATCCCCTGGTTTGGAGATGGATTTTTTTCAAAATTGGTGGACTGAAAAATACAAAAAAAGATACCAGCAGACTTTGATCCATCATGAAATACCATCTGGAAAGAGTCTGATTGGCAGCAGGTTCATTTTTCAGTACGACAACAATCCCACACCCACTGCCAATGTAGTAAATGCAAACCTGTATAGAAAACTGCGCAATGGAACACTATCAGTCATGGATTGGCCTCCAGAGCCCAGACATTAGCATTTTTGAAACAGTGTGGGATCATGTTGACAGAGAAAAGAACAAAAGGCAGCCAACATCCAAAGAAGAGCTTTGAATGTCCTTCAAGAATCCTGGAGAACTATTTCTGGAAGACTACTTAAAGAAATTACAAGAAAAATTTCCTATGAGTATTCAGACTTTCAAGCTCATTAGATTTGTAGAGCGTTTTCCATTGTTCACATACATTAACCAATTATTCTTTAAAAAAAAAAAAAGGAAAGAAAAGAGAAAGGTAGCCAAATAAAAACAGTAAAAGAAACAAATGAAAATCTACTTTGGCATTCTTACGCCAAGCCAAGCCCTTCCTTTGGCTCACATACGCATAAAATTATTTCCAAAGTGAAGCATTTGTCATGCTTCCTACATGACAGAGTCAATAATATTTATTCTTCCAGTTCCACTACTGTAAATGGAAGAAAGAATAATCTTAATCTCCTCCTGGTTCCAATATACTGTACATACATTCCAATAAAAACCCCATTGAGACGAGATAAACTTTACAAGAGAGAATAATCCCTGCCGCTCAGTAATGTACCTCACTGGTCCCACCGGCATTTTAACCAGATATGGTCTGTAACAAATAAGCCAGCAAGACAAAGCTAAACGAGAAAGCCAAAAGACTCCCCAGTGGGGCGCAGGAAAGCTGAAGGAAAGGCGAAGGGGAAGAGCCGTATTGCATGAGGTGAACATCATATTCTGAATACACAAACACTGATATCGCTAAATGCATCTTATAGTCCCCTGAGGATACTATTATAACCCAATTTCCATTCATAAACCCACTTTAAAATCGTAGGAGCTTGTCTTCGTATCATTATTAACTTTTCTTTCTTTCTTACTTGTTTGTCCATGCGCACAATGCAAACAGAAACTTCTAATATTTAATCCAGCACAGTATTGATGATGCCAATTTGATAAAATGTATATAAATGTAAAAAGAAAAAGGTACAAGCTTAACAAATAGAACAATACCCTTTAAAATATGCCACTGCAGGCAAGATTTAAATAACAGTGACTATAATTCTTATTGGTGTGGGGATTAAAACCACTGATCACATAAAGGTAATATTTAATATTACACCAATTCTTCTAGAGAATGAAATCCAGATTGAATGGGTGGGTGTGGGCTCAATACCCACGAACACATCAGTGAATGAAAAATGCAGCAAACTTTAATCTAAAAATGTCCTTTTCATTTGCCAGGTTCTGCACCGTGAGAAGTGGATCGAAGTGACCCCGACACAGCAGAAGATTTTTTTGTCCTCTGTGTGGCTACTCGGAGCCCTGCTTGGTATATTTTTCCTAAGTGAGGTGAAAATTAAGAAGTGGACGGATAAGGGCTCCTGCGAGAATCTCAGCTTCTCACCGGTACAAGAATGTATCTACATCACATTCACAGTTATCAGCCATGTCGTCTCATTGACCTGCTACTCACTACTTGTTAGAGGGATCAACCGAATTCAAATCTTTGATAAGAAAAAGCTGAGGATTACCAAGTTATTTCTTCACATCATCGCTGGTTCCCTGGTATTTGCTGTCATTGCTCTGATGTTTCGCACAGCGTATGTGACTGTGCGTCTCGCAGCACCGGAAAAACTGCTTTACATCAGCAAAATGTTCATATTTATGGAATGTTTTTACTTTTTCAAGCACTCTCTGAACCCATTACTGTATTACTTTGCCTCTCTACATGAAAGCACCGATAAGGAAATCTGCTTCTTCATGTCTCTTGATGACAGCTCCTAATATGTTCTCCCATATTTTTGGCCTCCTCATTCTAATGTGGCCTGATAGCCATGAAAACTGATGGAAAAATATGGATCCTTTGTATGGACAAAAGAATTTGGATCTTTTTTACTGGACTGTGTGACTAAATGACTAAATGTATCAAGTTAAATACTAAAGTGACTGATTAGCTCATTTTCCTGTGGTATGATTATTCTGCCTTCACATTTTATCACCTATTAGGCTGGAGCCTAAATCCAGGTTACACCCTGGACAGGTCGCCAGTCTATCGCAGCGCTAACACATAGAGACAGACAACCATTCACATTCATATTCATACCTACAGCCAATTTAAAACCCAGTTAAGTTAACTCATCTGAACTGTTGGAGGAAGCACGGAGAAAAAACACGCAACTACAGAGAAACAAGCTAGCCAGTGGATTCAAACCCAGGACCTTTTTGCTGCAAGGCAACTGGACTGCCACCATCCTGCTCTACAGTTTATTACATAATATTCATTATATTATGCATGGCCAAAACACTGTACCACATCCAAAACTAATAGATAGATCTGTTATTTTGGTTCTTTAAATCTCAAACTTTGTTTGCTTCACTGAAAGAATGGGCACATAAAAAAATAAAACGATCTAATAAGGAGATCTATTTGGAGATGAGACTTATTGTGTTTTGAGCAAATAAAATCAGACTTTTAATGTTTATGGTGCATTTATGTGCTGTTTAATGAATGCGAAATATGGTTCTGACTCCAAACACGTCACGCGAACCCTCTCTAACTGAGTGAGCAACTTAGAAAGACTGTAAAATGTTTTGTTTGGTTGATAATCAACTTTTAATTTTGATTGGTACAGAATTTTGGACCAGTTTTTATTTTCTAACGCAGCTTTGGGTTGTAACTGTTAGCCGCACTAGGCACAGACAAGTTATTTTTAACAGCAGCAAGTAGAGCAGCAATATTTATTTATCACAGGCTCTAAATAGCTAACAGCATGTTGTTTAAAATACAAAACATCTTTGTAGTGTTAATGTAGTTTTATGACACGGGAAACTTCCTGACTTCAAATCTCATAATCCCATATTTTATTTACAATAGAACATTAAAACATGTTGAACGATTATTTAACAAAAGTCTGTATTTATCTGGGAACTGAGGAGATCAGCTGCTGGAATTTTGGGAGAATATTTTTCATTTCATAATGCTCCAGATGTTTTCAGTGGGTGAAAGGTCTGGACAGCAGCCAGGCCAGCTCAGCGCCCTGACTCTTCTACTACTAAGCTATGCTGTTGTAATAAATGCAGCATGAGGCTTAGCGTTGTATTGCTGAAACGTGCAAGGCTTTCACTAAAATAAATGTTGTCTGGATGGGAGCATATGTTGCTCTGCATTTGTGGATGGCACTGTGACAGCAAAAGTTCTTTTTGGGGGGATGTGTTGCTGCCATCAGATTCTAAATGAGCTAATATTTGTCATGCAGTAGTAAAACGTTCTAGTTTAAATACTTTCTGTGATTCACTGTGAACAAAATGTGGTTTCATGAGGTTTGTAAATCATTGCATTCTGTCTTTATTTGCATTTTACACAGCGATGATGACAACCTGAGAAGAATGAAAAGTTACATTTATAGTGTTAGTCTGCAGCTTAGCGTGTTAACATTAGCACTAAATGCAAACTGCACTTAAGGCTAAATCAAATGCATTAACTACACTGAATAGTCACTTTATTAGGTACAGCTTGCTAGGAGCAGGTTTGACCTCTTTGTTCTGATGGTGGATCTAATTCTAACGACTGCGAGTTCAGCAAATTCACTGTTATGCTCAAGAAACCAGTTTGAGATGATTCAAGCTTTGTGACATGGAATGATATCCTGGTGGAAGAAGATGGATGCACTGTGGTCATAAAGGGATGGGCATGGTCAGCAACTATATTCAGGTAGGTTGGGCATTTAAATGAGGCTCAGTTGGTACTAACTGTGCCAAGAAAATATCTTTACACTGTAATCAGCAGCCTGAACTGTTCATACACGCTGGATGGGTCAGTTCAAAGTTTGCTCATTCTCCTCTGACCTCAAAGAAGGATATCTGTATATCTTCTCTTTTTTACGAAATCAGTGCAAAATTAGAAACTTTTGAGCACTTAATACAAAAGCGAGCATCCGCCTACCCGTCATGAGGCGAGACACAAAGGTCTCGGTGAGCTGCAGGAAACCGTGGTCAATGTACTGCAGAAAGGTGTGATGAGGGAGGCAGCGCACAGCAAACACGGCAAACAAGGTGTGATAGCCTGGAGAAACACAAAGGAGGCATCTGCTTTTTATGTTCCTAAATTCTCCTGCAGGCTTTTTAGCCCGTTTTCATGTTTACCAGTTTTATTTGTTCAGTCTTTGTATTGTATTGTAAAAAGCCTGACATAAAACAAATGGAACAAAGCATTCAGCTGACTGCTCAGCTTCAGAGGAGTGCATTTCTTACTTTTATTTACCAAAGGGATACACGCTCAGTATGCCTGCTGCGTTACACTTTCACTTCATTTAGACACATTTAAACCTCCAGCCTCAGTGTTAAGGGTGTGTTGACGTCTCGCATTCATCATCATCTCCCCCCCCCCCATCCCTTACAGTTTATGATCCCAGCACAGAAAGCCTTCGCTGGTGCTTAGGCTCCAGAAAATTTGTCCAAATGATTAAAATGCATTCACACTTTCTTACTCATGTCTGCATATTGTTAAATGTTTGGTTACATTAGCGCAGAGGAAAAACACACACATTGTTACGCCGGCTGAGGCAGAGGCAGACCGGATTATAACAGCTAGTTTAAAAGTGTGTGATACCGGGTGGGAGGGGCAGGCAGAGACTCCGGGTGGATTCCAGGATCCGAAGCATGAAGTGAAAGACGGACCACTCGGCCGGACTGCCCTGCTGCGTCCTGGAACGCGCGCACGCACGCACACACACACACACACACACACACACACAATTCAGATAAGAACATTACATAAGGTGAGTACACATGTGATGAGAGGTTAACACAAATACACACATGTGGGCACACACGTGACGGGGAATGATGGTGCACACATACCTCGAGATGACTGCACACCTTTAGTCTGCACTTTATATTACATTAGTTGGAAACATGACTGATTTGTACTCACAAGCACAAAACACGAGGGCCGAGTTTGTACTTCAGCCAGACTGACTCCAGCACGTGTCTGATGAGCTCCAACTAAACACACAAACACACACAGACAGAGACACACCTTAGCGTTTGAGCCGCATATGCTCGATTAGATTCAAATTAAATGAAACTCCAATGATTTGTGAGCCTGTAAACTTTTGCGCAAAGCAGGGCGTTTTATCTGAAAACGTTTCGACATGTTTTTCTGCTGTGGCGACAGTGATGTTCGCTTCATGGAAATTTACACTTGTCCTATGATCAGTTTCCTCACTTCTCCCTTTTTTTTCCTACTTCCCATTTTCATCTCGAGTAAACAAGTGCAACCCCAGTGCACCAGGATGTGAACACGTTTCACACTCGCCCATATTATTTCGCCACACGATTGGGATCATACGAACGCACTCGACCCGTCCTCAACGTGTCGGCCCGTACTGAAAGATTCATGGGCTTTTTTCCACAGGTGATCACTCTTCCACTTGTACAATAACAGGAAAAACGATCTGCCTCGTCCATATCCTGGACACCAGTTGGAAACCTTCCGCCAGCTGCTCCAAATGCCAGCAGCCAACATCCTCCATTCACCTCGGGGTGGGAATTAGCTGCACTTATGTAACAGACGAACCCAAAAGTCAAAAAGGTGTTCAGGATAAACATAATAATAAGCTCCTCTGGGCTTTTCCCCCCCACTTCTTGACGATGCTTTATTAAGTTTTAAATTATGTTAAACTTACCCCTGCACCGTCTGTGCTAAATAACACCATAAATCCCCCCAAACTCTGTATCTTTAAAAGCCATGAAAAAATATGAACCCCCGCTAAGGGTGATAACAATTTTAAATGGAAACTATGACAAAGGAAAGCTATTATTTTTATATTATTAGTTTTTTTTCTAGTTTCCATAGTGGATTTAAAGGTTTTGAATGAATTCTGATTTAACTTTGCAGGGTGGTAGAGTAAGGTCATTTTAACAAGCCATTAAAATTTGGCAAGGTCCTCAAGATCAACCTAATGATTTATTGGTTGAAAATCGACAAAAAGCCTTACAAATGTGGTGTGTATTGTCAACATATACAGTGGGGCAAAAAAGTATTTCGTCAGCCACCGATTGTGCAAGTTCCCCCACCTAAAATGATGACAGAGGTCAGTAATTTGCACCAGAGGTACACTTCAACTGTGAGAGACAGAATGTGAAAAAAAAATCCATGAATCCACATGGTAGGATTTGTAAAGAATTTATTCGTAAATCAGGTGGAAAATAAGTATTTGGTCAATAACAAAAATACAACTCAATACTTTGTAACATAACCTTTGTTGGCAATAACAGAGGTCAAACGTTTACTATAGGTCTTTACCAGGTTTGCACACACAGTAGCTGGTATTTTGGCCCATTCCTCCATGCAGATCTTCTCGAGAGCAGTGATGTTTTGGGGCTGTCGCCGAGCAACACGGACTTTCAACTCCCGCCACAGATTTTCTATGGGGTTGAGGTCTGGAGACTGGCTAGGCCACTCCAGGACTTTCAAATGCTTCTTACGGAGCCACTCCTTTGTTGCCCGGGCGGTGTGTTTTGGATCATTGTCATGTTGGAAGACCCAGCCTCGTTTCATCTTCAAAGTTCTCACTGATGGAAGGAGGTTTTGGCTCAAAATCTCACGATACATGGCCCCATTCATTCTGTCCTTAACACGGATCAGTCGTCCTGTCCCCTTGGCAGAAAAACAGCCCCATAGCATGATGTTTCCACCCCCATGCTTCACAGTAGGTATGGTGTTCTTGGGATGCAACTCAGTATTCTTCTTCCTCCAAACACGACGAGTTGAGTTTATACCAAAAAGTTCTACTTTGGTTTCATCTGACCACATGACATTCTCCCAATCCTCTGCTGTATCATCCATGTGCTCTCTGGCAAACTTCAGACGGGCCTGGACATGCACTGGCTTCAGCAGCGGAACACGTCTGGCACTGCGGGATTTGATTCCCTGCCGTTGTAGTGTGTTACTGATGGTGACCTTTGTTACTTTGGTCCCAGCTCTCTGCAGGTCATTCACCAGGTCCCCCCGTGTGGTTCTGGGATCTTTGCTCACCGTTCTCATGATCATTTTGACCCCACGGGATGAGATCTTGCGTGGAGCCCCAGATCGAGGGAGATTATCAGTGGTCTTGTATGTCTTCCATTTTCTGATGATTGCTCCCACAGTTGATTTTTTCACACCAAGCTGCTTGCCTATTGTAGATTCACTCTTCCCAGTCTGGTGCAGGTCTACAATACTTTTCCTGGTGTCCTTCGAAAGCTCTTTGGTCTTGGCCATGGCGGAGTTTGGAGTCTGACTGTTTGAGGCTGTGGACAGGTGTCTTTTATACAGATGATGAGTTCAAACAGGTGCCATTCATACAGGTAACGAGTGGGGGACAGAAAAGCTTCTTACAGAAGACGTTACAGGTCTGTGAGAGCCAGAGATTTTCCTTGTTTGAGGTGACCAAATACTTATTTTCCACCCTGATTTACGAATAAATTCTTTACAAATCCTACCATGTGGATTCATGGATTTTTTTTTCACATTCTGTCTCTCACAGTTGAAGTGTACCTCTGGTGCAAATTACTGACCTCTGTCATCATTTTAAGTGGGGGAACTTGCACAATCGGTGGCTGACTAAATACTTTTTTGCCCCACTGTATCTATACAGATTTAAAATAATAACTCACATTTGACCTCTAACATTTCCTTCAAAAGACTGATGTGAAGGCCAAAATGGTAATATTACTATATACAGCTATATAAAACTGTGTCTTACTGCCATTGTTTGTATTAACAACATATGCACATAAAAGGAACAATATATGGGGATTCTAACGTTACTTTTGACCTCTGACCTCTTCTTCAAGGTCAAATAAACCTTCAGAAAATGTCTTTTATCTTTAAAACTGTTCTTAAAAATTCTACTGCCTTTGTTTGTAGGGGCAACATTTTGGAAACCATACTGCTGTATAAAGATTCTAAATATCACATTATAGTTTGCATCCAAATATCAGGTCATAATTGACCTTTGACCTCACTTTTACGTTTTGCATCTGCCTTTCTTTCATGCTGCCTAGTCAGTTAGAAATTATCTGATAAGCTACAGTTATTCATGTCCATGTTATTTATGAATCGATACCTATGATCTACTCCTACATAATGTTTGTGTAATTAAAGTAAACATCTGTCATGCTACCCTTATTAAAGATCATTTAAAAAGAACAAAGAAAAAAATGAACATATAAAAATACAATATTATCTGCTTTAAAGTAAATACTGCTCAGAGAGTGAGCTGCTTTGGTGGAGGGCTGAGTTCTCAGAGTGCTTCTTGTTTGGGGATTTATTTCTTTATTATCTTTAATTTCTTTTAAATCCTTTTTCCTCTCCGTTTCTTTTTGAATTTTCTTAAAGCCCATTTTGTCAGCACTGTAAGCACAAATTAGGAAAGGAATGCCCCAAAAGACCATTGCATTCATCACGCATTTCAAAGTATTTTTCTCCAAAAATTAGAAACTATACTCGGTTGTCAACCTTTCAAACAAAACAAATTCCTAGAAGCTCAAGCAGCTCCTTGCTGATGCAGGAGCAGCGTCTTTGTGGAGAAAACGGTCAAACAAAAGGCAATCAAGTGATTTAAAGGCACACACACAAACACAGTTATCCCTCTGCGGCCTTCTGCTCCAATTTATAAAGTCGCCAATTTGTCTTAATGAACCTCGGCCCAGACAGGAAGCTGGATTTACCCGTGTAGGTCTCCTGTTAGCAAAAAGTTTAGTAACCTTGGGTAGAGAGCAACTTTTCTACTGCATAGTAAGTATATTCCAGCCTATTAGTTGCAATACTTTTTTTTTTTAGCAATTCATATTCGGCTATTAGTGTGGTTGTTCTTTGCCTTGACATTGGCTGTGTTATAAAAAGGAATGCATCTCCGTTGTCTGTGGCAACGGGGACAGGAAATAAATAACTATGACAATAATGTACTGCCGAGCTGTAATCTATCATAACAGAAGTTCCCCAG